GATAAAGGGGACATGTATATCTACCCCTCCCCCCTTTATCTAAGCAAAAATAAATAAAAATAGGGACATTAATAATATCAATGCATTGGAAAAATATATTTGTTTAAATGTAAAAGAAAAATACATAAATCATGCTGGTTAAATGTCTGGCATATTTAATTTTTTTTCTCGTGAAAGAACAGAAACTGAAGCAATAAAGACATTCATCCTATGCTGTTGATTCCAAACTGATGCTTAACCAGCTGTGTCATGCTAAAGACAAAGCAGCAAACATTTGTATTTTTTCTTTCCTCTTTGTAAAAGTTCTAAATTCATTTTTAGTAAGCATATAGAGAAATGTTTAGGAATCTATTATGCCTCTTTTTACACTATAACTGCTCAGTTTACTTCATGTTTCATATATGTATTCATAAAAAAATAGGAAGACAGGAATACTTTATCTTAATATCACAAGAAAGCAACATTTAAAATATATATGAATAACCTCAGTTTTATGCAGGCAGCACAGTTTATGCCTATGCAAATTAAGATGGTAGTGAGGCCTTTGACAATATCAGATGTTCTCTAAATGAAACGTCATGGGAAGACTTTTACTCATTGTAATAGGACCACATATTTATATTTCACACACAATTTAGTAAATGTTACATTCAAAACTCTGTGTGCATACTTTATATAGTGTTCTAAATTAAGTACAGCAAATACATTTAAATATCTTCATGTTTGAGTCCCACACCTTGGGGGTGACAATTCAGGGTTGACAACATGATATCCCAGTAAAAGGTTTGTAGCATTTCAACAGAAAATCCTACCCAAAAGGAATGAAACAGTAATGAATTACAAGAATTATTTGTTTTTATCAAAGGACAAAACCAAGACAAACAAAACAATCTAGTGAAACAAGAATATGGAATGACTAATAATGATTAATATAGGTACATAAATGTACATATTTGAAAAAGGTTGACTTTGTCATCAACAAACATTAGAAACCACACAGACACCAGATGAGTTTACATCAGATCAGTGAAGATGAAGTACTGGAGCACCTATTTGACTAAGTCTCACCCCCCTCACACTCACATATACACTTAGTCCATCTTTTCCTTGTGAACTAACTTCGGGGCATCGACAAAATCTTGTCCGTTAAACAGGATGACAGTGGCTGTGATTGCACTGGCGCTCCCCCAGAACATTACATAAGCAAGGGTCTCTGTCCATGTGTCACCTAGAAGACAAACAGCATTTACATCAGCCATTCTCCGATGGAGGAGATTCCCTCATTAACATTATTTGTTATTATTCTTGTTTGTTGAAGTAGTGCAGAGGGAATGCGTACTCTTTTTTTTTTTTTAAACAAAATTTTAAATAATTGTCCTATGTCTATCAAATCTCATCGTTAGCTTAATAAAGCATTTTAACACCAACATCACTGGTCCTCAACGCACACTGCCCAGCAAATATTAGACATTCCCCTACTTCAGTACACATGATTTCATTTGATGGCTGATTAACAGAATTTTGCTGAATTGCAGTCATCTCAATGGGGTGTGTTGAAGCAGAGGAACATCTAAAACGTGCAGGTCAGCATGCTTTGAGGACCAGGAATGGGAAAAATTGGTAATCAATGCTGAATCAATGTATGCCTTTCCCCTCCTCCTCTTTGAGCTCCAGGTGAGAGCATTTTATTATTAGGGGTTTATTACGTTTTAAATGAGCATAAGCACTGAGGACAATGGACTGCGATTCCTTTCTGTACATTTTCTTACCTGGCTGTAATTATTTTTACCGTTTGTGCCTATGCTGCAGCTTGATGGGAAAATGTGTGATTATGTATGTCAGCTAATATTAAAATAAATATTCGTGAATATTCATTGACATGTTCTTATTAATTTAACTGAGTGTACAAGTGAAATCATGCACACGGCTTCCATGTTTGTTCTCAGAACTATAACCAGTACATTAATATTTCAAAGGTTTTCAAATGTTTATCATCTTTCTAACTGGCCCAAACCATCGTCTTCCTCGCTCTTATTGTTGTGTTTTTCAGCCGCTGCTCTGCAGTTTGACCCAAAGCTGATTGACGAGGACTACAGTAAAACTGGCTTTGTTATGCGCCAGAACAGGAGGAAGGCATCAAGGAACCAAAATGACACCAACCAGAGTCAAACTTGGGTTACCCCAACTCATACCATTTCCCTGGTTTATAGAGTATCAGGCTTAACCTCATGGATGCTGTTCTTCCATGGACAGTAAAATTTTGTTCTGTCAGCCAAAAATTAGTCAAATATTTTGACATATCTATGCTTGTTTTACTAAATAAATTGCAATATTAATGTCATGTTGTAAATTCTAAGTTTGTATACACCTTTTTGGAAATATGGTAATGCAAGATCATTTTGAACGACATAATATCCATCGTCTGCCAACAAAATTGTGTTTAACACCAGTGAAAAAACGTTTAATGTTATGATATGATGTAGACCTATCAGACCAAAAAATTTACATGAATCAATATTGATTCTTTAACTTTGATTCAATACAAAATCAACACAAATGAGCATGTAGATCCAAATTCAGATGATGGTTGAATCAACATTCATATAGTGTCAGTTATGGTTGAAACCCTAAAGATGATTCAACGTCTAAGTCACCAACCACTTTCAAAATCATTTCAATGTCAGACTTCAACATGGATTCAATGTTTCTGTCTCACTATATTTCAATGTTGTTTCAATCATATTTTGCTATCTGTGTCTACTCTAATATCAAATTGGGTTAAAGACCCAAGCAGTTACCACATCTGATGCAGTCTGACCACATGTCACTGTTTTTTTGATTCCTGAATATCCCGAGGAAATCTGGCTGTACCATTGTAAGAACCATCACAATCTGGCCTGACGATGCCTCACTGCAGCTGCTGGGTTGTTTTGAAAGTACAAACTGGGACATTTTTAAACATACAGATCTAGAATTATTAACTGAAAGTGTTTTGTGTTGCATCAAGACCTACACCGACAATATTACTGTGGAAAAAACATATCTGGGTCTTCCCCAACGATAAGGTATGGATGACCCAGGAAATCCAGCAGCTGCTTAAAGAAAAGAACATCATGTGAGGAGAAGGCCCTCTACAGCTTGGAAATCTAGAGATCTGACTTGGACTTTGAGAATTTTGAGGGGAGGGTCGAGGAGAACCTGGACAACAGCAGCAGGCAGGTTTGGATGGGAGTCCAGCACATCACCAGTCAGTTGAAGGTGACATCTCACCGACGTGGTTCAGGAGAAGATGAACCACTTCTTTGCTCATTTTGAGGCTGACCCTCAAGTAGCACCAGTTCTGAATTAAACAGTGGTCAAGATGGAGGAATGTGAGGTGAGACGCTTGCTACAGTCTGCCACTCCCAGAAAGGCAACAGGACCTGAGCGTGTTCCTGAACCTGTACTCTGCTCAGCTGCAGAGTAGCTGGCTGGGGTCTTAATTAAGATCTCTAATCTATCCATATCTCAGGCAAAAGTCCCATCCTGCATGAAATCCTCCACCAAAGTTCCCACTACTAAAAAAATCACCCATCACCTGTCTGAACGACTACCGACTAGTGGCTCTCTCCGCATTGGTGATGAAATGTTTTGAAAGACTGATTTAGAGTCATATCTTGTTGTTCATATTCCTCTCACCTTTGATGCACACTCGTTTGTATCATGTCTACTCGTTGCTGTCTATCTACAGAAACGAGTTTGCCAACAGGTCAACTGAAGATGCTGTTGCCACTGTCCTCCATGCTGTCCCTGTCCCGCAGCACCGGGAGAGATACGCAGGCATCGTCTTCATTTATTTCAGCTCTGTATTCAAAATCATCCTCTCTGACAGACTGGTGTGCAAACTGGGAGACCTGGAAATACCCCTTTCCACCTGCTGCTGGATTAAAGACTTCCTTCACAGAAAGAGAGTGGGACCCCATAACTCCTCAGTTATCAGCGTCAGCACTGGCTCTACCCAAGGCTGTCTTAAGCCTTCTGCTCTTCATGGTGTGCACACAAAATTATGTTTCAGTGCATCAAAGTAGCACCCTTGTTAAATTTGCAGGGGACACAACTGTAATTTCATGTCATGGGGAGATGAGTCTGCATACAGTAATGAGGTGGAGCGACTCAAGTTGCACAGATAACAGCTTGACCTTAAACACAGCCAAGACCAAGGAGCTGATAGTGGATTTTAGAAGTAAAGCAGACATTCAATCACTAAACATCTGCAAGGACTGGGTGAAGAGGGTGTAAAACTTCCCTTTCTTAAGATTTCACATCATATATAACCTGGCCTGGATGGGATAAACACAGTAGAACTGATGAATAAGGCATGATAGATTATTTCTTCAACATTTTTCAAAACTGTTGGTTTCATTCTATAGGTGCTCTATTTATTGAAAGCAATCTCTCCTATCGTGTCTGTGTGTGGTTCTCCAGGTGCACAGCAGCACGAAGGAAGACACCCAGAAGATCATCAGCTGTGCTCTGCTTTCTCTCAAAAAACTCCACAGTTCCACTGCCTCTTGAAAGTCAGGACCATTTTAAAAGACTCCTCTCACCCTGGGCACAATTTGTTCCAATTGCTGCCAAATGGCTGCAGATACTGGAGCATTAAACCAAGGACAAACAGACTGAGGAACAGTTTATACCCAGTAGCCATCAGGGCATTAAATGCCACCTTGTATTACATCTAATGCCATGGTTATGTTCATGTAATTTTATTACCTGTTTTCATAATGACACTAAAGAAAACATGCACTTTTACTTTCTTAGACATTCGTCTTTGAGGTCCACAAACCTTTTAGAATCAACCAACAGCGTAGTGGGATAGTCTGGGCTTAAGACTTGGCTAATAATTGTGCAAACAGTGTCTGTTTTAATTATCAAAATGACAAAAAAANATCATGCACACGGCTTCCATGTTTGTTCTCAGAACTATAACCAGTACATTAATATTTCAAAGGTTTTCAAATGTTTATCATCTTTCTAACTGGCCCAAACCATCGTCTTCCTCGCTCTTATTGTTGTGTTTTTCAGCCGCTGCTCTGCAGTTTGACCCAAAGCTGATTGACGAGGACTACAGTAAAACTGGCTTTGTTATGCGCCAGAACAGGAGGAAGGCATCAAGGAACCAAAATGACACCAACCAGAGTCAAACTTGGGTTACCCCAACTCATACCATTTCCCTGGTTTATAGAGTATCAGGCTTAACCTCATGGATGCTGTTCTTCCATGGACAGTAAAATTTTGTTCTGTCAGCCAAAAATTAGTCAAATATTTTGACATATCTATGCTTGTTTTACTAAATAAATTGCAATATTAATGTCATGTTGTAAATTCTAAGTTTGTATACACCTTTTTGGAAATATGGTAATGCAAGATCATTTTGAACGACATAATATCCATCGTCTGCCAACAAAATTGTGTTTAACACCAGTGAAAAAACGTTTAATGTTATGATATGATGTAGACCTATCAGACCAAAAAATTTACATGAATCAATATTGATTCTTTAACTTTGATTCAATACAAAATCAACACAAATGAGCATGTAGATCCAAATTCAGATGATGGTTGAATCAACATTCATATAGTGTCAGTTATGGTTGAAACCCTAAAGATGATTCAACGTCTAAGTCACCAACCACTTTCAAAATCATTTCAATGTCAGACTTCAACATGGATTCAATGTTTCTGTCTCACTATATTTCAATGTTGTTTCAATCATATTTTGCTATCTGTGTCTACTCTAATATCAAATTGGGTTAAAGACCCAAGCAGTTACCACATCTGATGCAGTCTGACCACATGTCACTGTTTTTTTGATTCCTGAATATCCCGAGGAAATCTGGCTGTACCATTGTAAGAACCATCACAATCTGGCCTGACGATGCCTCACTGCAGCTGCTGGGTTGTTTTGAAAGTACAAACTGGGACATTTTTAAACATACAGATCTAGAATTATTAACTGAAAGTGTTTTGTGTTGCATCAAGACCTACACCGACAATATTACTGTGGAAAAAACATATCTGGGTCTTCCCCAACGATAAGGTATGGATGACCCAGGAAATCCAGCAGCTGCTTAAAGAAAAGAACATCATGTGAGGAGAAGGCCCTCTACAGCTTGGAAATCTAGAGATCTGACTTGGACTTTGAGAATTTTGAGGGGAGGGTCGAGGAGAACCTGGACAACAGCAGCAGGCAGGTTTGGATGGGAGTCCAGCACATCACCAGTCAGTTGAAGGTGACATCTCACCGACGTGGTTCAGGAGAAGATGAACCACTTCTTTGCTCATTTTGAGGCTGACCCTCAAGTAGCACCAGTTCTGAATTAAACAGTGGTCAAGATGGAGGAATGTGAGGTGAGACGCTTGCTACAGTCTGCCACTCCCAGAAAGGCAACAGGACCTGAGCGTGTTCCTGAACCTGTACTCTGCTCAGCTGCAGAGTAGCTGGCTGGGGTCTTAATTAAGATCTCTAATCTATCCATATCTCAGGCAAAAGTCCCATCCTGCATGAAATCCTCCACCAAAGTTCCCACTACTAAAAAAATCACCCATCACCTGTCTGAACGACTACCGACTAGTGGCTCTCTCCGCATTGGTGATGAAATGTTTTGAAAGACTGATTTAGAGTCATATCTTGTTGTTCATATTCCTCTCACCTTTGATGCACACTCGTTTGTATCATGTCTACTCGTTGCTGTCTATCTACAGAAACGAGTTTGCCAACAGGTCAACTGAAGATGCTGTTGCCACTGTCCTCCATGCTGTCCCTGTCCCGCAGCACCGGGAGAGATACGCAGGCATCGTCTTCATTTATTTCAGCTCTGTATTCAAAATCATCCTCTCTGACAGACTGGTGTGCAAACTGGGAGACCTGGAAATACCCCTTTCCACCTGCTGCTGGATTAAAGACTTCCTTCACAGAAAGAGAGTGGGACCCCATAACTCCTCAGTTATCAGCGTCAGCACTGGCTCTACCCAAGGCTGTCTTAAGCCTTCTGCTCTTCATGGTGTGCACACAAAATTATGTTTCAGTGCATCAAAGTAGCACCCTTGTTAAATTTGCAGGGGACACAACTGTAATTTCATGTCATGGGGAGATGAGTCTGCATACAGTAATGAGGTGGAGCGACTCAAGTTGCACAGATAACAGCTTGACCTTAAACACAGCCAAGACCAAGGAGCTGATAGTGGATTTTAGAAGTAAAGCAGACATTCAATCACTAAACATCTGCAAGGACTGGGTGAAGAGGGTGTAAAACTTCCCTTTCTTAAGATTTCACATCATATATAACCTGGCCTGGATGGGATAAACACAGTAGAACTGATGAATAAGGCATGATAGATTATTTCTTCAACATTTTTCAAAACTGTTGGTTTCATTCTATAGGTGCTCTATTTATTGAAAGCAATCTCTCCTATCGTGTCTGTGTGTGGTTCTCCAGGTGCACAGCAGCACGAAGGAAGACACCCAGAAGATCATCAGCTGTGCTCTGCTTTCTCTCAAAAAACTCCACAGTTCCACTGCCTCTTGAAAGTCAGGACCATTTTAAAAGACTCCTCTCACCCTGGGCACAATTTGTTCCAATTGCTGCCAAATGGCTGCAGATACTGGAGCATTAAACCAAGGACAAACAGACTGAGGAACAGTTTATACCCAGTAGCCATCAGGGCATTAAATGCCACCTTGTATTACATCTAATGCCATGGTTATGTTCATGTAATTTTATTACCTGTTTTCATAATGACACTAAAGAAAACATGCACTTTTACTTTCTTAGACATTCGTCTTTGAGGTCCACAAACCTTTTAGAATCAACCAACAGCGTAGTGGGATAGTCTGGGCTTAAGACTTGGCTAATAATTGTGCAAACAGTGTCTGTTTTAATTATCAAAATGACAAAAAAATAAAAGCTGGGGCTGTTTCATTCTTGGTGAAATTAATCCTTTTCCTTTCAGACATGGAGAAAACACAGTCACTTTTATGACATTACTGAATTTGACTTTATGTAGATCCAAATTCAAATCATGGTTGAATCAACATCCATATAGTGTCAGTTATGGTTGAAACCCTAAAGCTGATTCAACATCCAAGTCACCGACCACTTTCAAAATTATTCCAATGTCTGGCTTCAACGTGGATTCAATGTTTCTGTCTAACTATATGTCAATGTTGATTCACTCATACTTTGCTATCTGGGATATGTCTCACCAAATGTTTTTGGTAATGCTGAGCTTCACTACCTTCACTATTAAATCCGTGTCTGTTTCTTTGGAGGTTCGATCCACCTGAGTGACACTTCCGCATGCACGGAGTTAACTAGCCATGGGGTGACATCAATTTTCATCCCCAGTGATACAAGAGTATGAATGTTAAGCAGCAGCAACAAAATGACAGTGATATTCACTTTGAGGTATCACTTACCAGCCAGAAGAAGAGAAACGATGCACATGGAGAATGCAACTAGCATGACAATGGGAAGCTTCAAAGACAAAATAAAAATAAAACATTTAGTGTGTTAGACCACTCAGCTTTATTATTACTAGGTGAAAACACTGATGCACTCACTGTTAGGAACTTCCAGTCCTTCTTAATACGAAGAGGAGTGGGTCCCTCTGACTCATCAACAGCAAAGTTACCCAGGAAAAGGTCAATAGCATCCTAATGGGGAAAAACAGCTGCTGGAGATATCCTAGTCTTTCTTTATGTATAAATCAATACTAAAGTATTGACTCAAAAACAGCACTTGTCTTAGGTGATGATTAACTTTTAAAATCTTTTTGGAAGAAAAGTGTTACACAAGGTGTCTTTACTTTGATCCATAATAAATTGCGTCACAGATTTACCTGTCTGAATCCATCTGAAAAGTTGTTTTTGTAGTAGCGAATCATGGAGTTCCAACCATCCATCAGCAGTCCCCACCTGGTCCTCTTCCCTGTCCTACTCAATACATAACATTGCTGTCATATTCAATCAGACAGAAGATGTTTGTGTTGACGGATGTTTAATAGTGTTACCTCGTAAAGTCTGTTTTTAAAGCTCCAGTACCAGCATACTGCACAGCGCATGCATTGGCATTGTCAGCCCAAGCTGTTAGAAAGCAAAAGCAAAATACATCAGGACACACAAGAACTTTACAGGATCTACTAATCCCTCAAAGCATGCTGATAGTAGAGCAGGTATCGTCCTACCGTTTTTGTAGACTTTTTCAAACTCAGCCTGCTCTTCAATGCGCTGACCCACATTCAGAACTCCCATTCTCTGTTAAAATAAGAGAGAAAAAGTACGGACTCAACCACTTACCATACCTATTAATCTATACAGAATCAGTTTTTCACACATTTAAGGACCGAACGCATCCACAAGGCTTCAGCTCAATTTTTCCCCATTAAACTTAGATGTAGACCTGTCATGATAATACATTTTGCTAGGTGATAAATTGTCCCAGAAATAATTGCAATAAACAGTGATATTGTTGTTCTGAGACCATTTTAATATAATGATAATGGCATAACAATTCAAGAACACTTTCTC